AATGCATTACTTTTAAAAGTAACTTTCCCCAACACTGCATATATTGCACATGTCCGACTGAGCTATAGACTTATTCTGTACAAATCCTGTTTATTTTTGTCAAAGAGACAAATACACATTTTAACCGAAAAGCCTGCGTTTATTTGATTAAAATCATTCTTCCCCTGTTATGATATTTCATCATACGGATGTGTTCTGATTTGGCTCATCCATGTTAAACAAATGAAACATGTACCTCCAGTGAATGTGGCGGGGACTATTCTTTCCCCGACCCCTCTGCTGGATGACAACAGCCTGACATGAGCCCGCTGACAGACATTCAGAGAGTATTTGAGTGAACTTAATGATCGGATCATTTCTGCAGCTGCTGTAGTTTGACCTGCAGTAGACTGGAAACTACGGCGTGACAGGCGTACAGTGACTGAAAAGACCCCACGGTCGCTCACTGATGACGTCTGCGTGCAGTTCGATACGTGCCTGTGTAAAATGTTTTAATGCATTTCTCGAGCGACTTTTGGAGAAAAATTTGTTTTTTTTATGTGTTTAGTTTTATTTGATTTGATTAATTACATTATAATATTGGCAAAATATTTTCTACAAAAACGTAGATTAATGTTGTTAACCCTTCCATGTCACTTCATTGTTGAAAAGTACTTTGAATTTGTGCCATTTTGTTGTAATAATATTTTTATTATTAAATCAAATACGAAGACATGAATGCTCTGCATACTAGACGAACAGCTGTAACTTAGTAAATGACTGTATCTGCTCTGAATGAAACACTGACTGGTGATCTTGGGAGTTTTGTAGTAAAGAGCAGTTTAAAATCTATGGGCTTCCTTCAAACTGATTGTAAAAAAGCAAAAGCCGGTAATAATCCCTACAGCTCAAGCCTGAAGACACTCCTCTGCGAACAGAGACTGATTTCAGCAGGTGATGATTAGGTTGGGCGGTGTCTTTGTCAACAGGTTGATTGTGAAAGTGAAACTGAGGCGGGATGTTCTCCTTTCCATCTTGGCTAACTCTCGTATCAACATTTTGTTAATATCAAATAATCATAAATAATGTATTCAGAAACTCCTGTGAACACAGCAGTGCTCAGCTGAAGGTAAGTCAAGAACCAACCGAAAAACATGTCGATGTTTTTGTGTCTTGCTTTCTCTGGACTAATTTAACCAGTTGATTGTAGATGTGTGTGTAAAATAGGGTGACCATACGTCCTCTTTTCTTCCCCGGACAAAAACGCCCAAATAATTTCTAAATCGCCCAAATGTCCGGGATTCGGCTTTTGCTTTTTACAGTCGCCATTCCGCAGTTTGCGGTTTGATATTCAGATTTCTTTGGGCTATAAATACGCAGCGCGCTGTCATAAACATGCAAATAACACCGAATATCATTCTCCATGATTTGTGAATTCGGGTGACGCTGTCCTTCGGGCCGAAAAAAGTTTTTTTTTTCTTCGTAGCGACTCTTAATTGTATAATGCCTATAGCTCCAAAAGTTGGACACTTCGAGGAATGAAACCGGTGTCATGTTCACCAGCTTGATCTGTGAATTTATTTCACAGCAAACCCCTTGGTAAGTCCGCTAGTAAGGAATGTGAAAGAAAGGAGTTCTTCATGTTTAACGTCTATTACCAATAAACGACTGTTAGAATACAAAAACATTGTTTTAGGTCGAGCTCGATTTGAGAAAACTTTCACAATCGCATTTTATCGCGTGGAAGTGTTTCTCTTTGCTCTGCCCCCCCATTTTTTGTATAATAATGCCATACGGTGCTGTTCCAGTGAATAACGGTTTACGGGACATTCTACCAAAAGTGTACATTTTCTGTCCTTGACTTGTTACAGTGAATAAAAAGTATTACATCCAAAAAATGTCTAAAACTGACTGATAGTTGATTTCCGTGTGTTGTTCTGTAAAGGAATATGTCATTCGTTAAGTTCTCATTGACTTGTTTTATTATTTTATTATTATACAATTTATAAATAAATTGTTTTATTTATTAAAAACACTTTTGAAGATTACAAATCCTGTCCTTGTCCTCAGCCTAATTGGACCTACAGCTTTCATAGTGTTGTTATGCTAAAAACTGTTATTTAGAAGAAAAAAAAAACTCCATCAATAAGTTTTTGTTATCATTCACATCAACTGATTAAAAACATGAAATTATACATAAATTCTACAGATACTATTTTACAACTGTCCTCATGTTTTCGGTCAGTCACGTTTACATAAAACTTCATCTTTGTTTCCAAATGCAATGACTTCAGTTTTTTCCTTGTTTAACTGAAGAAAGTTCTGGCACATCCAACTGTTAATTTCTTCAATGCATTGGCAGAGGGAGTCAATGGGGCTGTAGTCATTTGGTGATAAGGCTAGGTAAATCTGGGTATCATCTGCATAGCTGTGTTAGGCAATTTGGTTCTTTCCCATTATTTGACTTAGTGGGAGCATATACAGGCTAAACAAGAGCGGTGCAAGAATTGAGCCTTGTGGGACTCCGCATGTCATGGACGTCCACTTAGACTTATGCTCTCCTATACTCACATAATAACCTCTCCCTTCTAAGTATGACCTGAAATATTTGATTACCATCCCAGAAAGCCTGACCCAGTTTTCCAGTCTCTCTAGAAGTATGTTATGATCGACCGTGTCAAACGCAGCACTGATAGGCGATTTGGTTCTTTCTCATTATTTGACTTAGTGGGAGCATATACAGGCTAAACAAGAGCGGTGCAAGAATTGAGCCTTGTGGGACTCCGCATGTCATGGACGTCCACTTAGACTTATGCTCTCCTATACTCACATAATAACCTCTCCCTTCTAAGTATGACCTGAACCATTTAATTACCATGCCAGAAAGCCCGACCAAGTTTTCCAGTCTCTCTAGTAGTATGTTATGATCGACAGTATCAAACGCAGCACTGAGATCTAGTAGTACCAGCACTGATATTTTGCCAGATTCAGAATTTAAGCGAATATCATTTATCTTAATGAGTGCTGTCTCTGTGCTGTGATGCGGTCGAAAACCAGATTGAAAATTGTCCAGGTATCCATTTGAGTTTAAGTATTTGTTCAGCTGATTAAAGACTACCTTTTCAATAATCTTTCCTATAAAAGGAAGATTTGATATTGGTCTATAGTTGCTCAATATGGTGTTATCAAGATTTCTCTTTTTCAGAAGGGGTTTAACAACTGCAGTTTTCAGGGAGTTTGGAAAAGTCCCAGAAAGAAGTGAGGCGTTCACCACTTCTAAGAGATCTGCTTCCAAACAGTTAAGCACCCTTTTGAAAAAATATGTGGGAAGTGTGTCAAGATAGCATGTTGACGATTTAAGGTGCTGTACTATTTCTTCCAAAGTTTTGCTATCAATTTCTTCAAAAGCAGACATAGTATCTTCTTTTTGATATTGCGGTCGAATCTGTGTGACCTCTGCATAACTTGGGGATGTGCTAATCGCCTTCCTGATGTTATTGATCTTCTCAGAAAAGAAGGAAGCATTTGCATTTGCTGTCGGAGAGCATTTCACTGGCAATCTGATTTGGGGGGTTTGTCAGTCTCTCAACAGTAGCAAAAAGAGTGTGAGTGTTGTTTAAGTTACTGTTTATAAGGTTTGATAAGAATGACTGTCTAGCTTTGCCTAGTTCCACATTGAAAGCATGAAGGCTGTCTTTATGTATACCATAGTGAATTTCAAGTTTCGTCTTCCGCCACATCCGCTCAGCTTTTCTGCATTGTCTTTTCATTCTCTGAACTGCTGTTGATTTTCTCCAAGCTGATTTCTGTCTGCCAGTCTTCTTGCTGACTTTCAAAGGAGCAATGTCATCAATAACATTCTTAACTTTTGAGTTAAAGGAATCAAGGAGAAGATCAACAGAGTCTGCAGAAATGCTTGGTGTTAAAGATATAGCCTCCATAAATAGCACACTAGTGTTTTCGTTAATGCATCTCTTTCTGACAGAGACCGATCTAGATTCAGTGGTAACAGAGATCAATATATCAAAGAAAATACAGAAGTGATCAGATAGTTCTACGTCCTTAATAACAATGGATGAAATGTTTAGACCTCTACTGATGATTAAATCAAGAGTATGTTCACGATTGTGTGTGAGTTAATGCACATGCTGAATCAGGTCAAAAGTGTTTAAAACAGTTAATTTATTTTGTAGTTTTGTTTTCTGCATTATCTATGTGAATATTAAAATCCCCTGCAATAGCAAAACAGTCAAACTCTGAGGAAATCATTGATAGCATTTCTGTGAACTCTTCAGCAAAGGCTGGATAGTATTTTGGAGGCCTGTAAATAATGATAAACCGAATGCGTGGAGAACCTTTCAACACAATCCCTAGATATTCAAAAGACAAGTACTGACCAAATGACACTTGCTTGCATTGATAGACATCTTTAAATAGAGCAGCTACACCTCCACCTCTCCTAACAGTCCTGCAAACACATCTTTAAATAGAGAAGCTACCCCTCCACCTCTCCTAACAGTCCTGCAAATACTCATGAAAGTAAAGTTAGGAGGGGCTGTTTCATTGAGGACCGTTGCACTGCAGCTGTCTTCTAGCCATGTTTCGTTTAGAAACATAAAATCCAGGTTGTTTGTTGTTATTAAGTCATTGATTAGAAATAATTTATTTTTTTAGTGAGCGAATGTTTAAAAATGCTAACTTGATGGCATTGCATTTTGTCTCAACAGCAATATTAGTTTGATGCATAACAGGCCGCAGATTAGAGGAGTCAGCCGTACGGCTTGAGAAGGCCTTAGACTTTCTATCACGTGATAAAACAGAAATAGAGAAAACTACAGGCACACTGGGTTCCCGCTTATTCTGTAAACATTTGTCATCATGCCTGGAGCTGATCTGTGCTGGTCGCTGAGGGAATACATCAGCTTAGTGCTGTGGATCGCCGGATCGGCTTTCACCGTGGACGAGAGCTGCTATCAGTTATTTTTGGTTCACCTACAGCAGATGGAGGGTTTGGGCCCTGGCGTTGTGGCAGCGGCCGGGGAGCTCTCACTGGAGGAGGAGGACAAGCTGGGCCCACAGACTTTGGTGGTTGTGGTGCCCGCCGTTTTTTTAGTTGATAACTGGGGGCTTGCAGCAAAAGAGTGGGAGAGTCTGGTCCCAGCATAAACCAGTTCCTCCATTTTCTGTGAGAAGCTTAGAAGTGGAGATGTTGGAGAGAGGGATAATGTGTCTGGTGAGCAGGGCTGTGGCTCTGTTGTTTCCGGTGGCTGAAATATGTTGTCCTGGCTTCCCTGGCTGTTTTCCAGAAAGTCATCCTTGGATGCTGAGTCTTGGAGCTGTTCTGATACGTCACAGTCTGTCTGTGATGAGCTCTGTGGGCAGGGCTCAGCCGTGATGGTGTCCATGAGCAGGGCTTGTTCGCTCTGAGCTGAAAGCTGCTGTCTGCTCGACCTTGAGCATCTGTTAGTAGCGATGTTAGCTGCTGGCTGATCCGATCCATGTTTAATCACGTTTGGGGATTCATCACCCGCATTCATTAATGCTTCAAATCTGTTCTCAAGATGTTATAGGGGGTGGTAGAATACCAGTATTCACAAGCCTTGTCATAGCCGTATCTGCGGTAGAGGATGCTATGGCCGCAATACGAGAAACTCGTGATAATCTGATGTCTCTACTGCCTTTGGGTCTCGCTCCCTGTTTGTGCCATCGATTAGTGTGACAATCAGTTTCAGCATGTTCCTCTACACTTGGTATAAACGGTTGAGATTTACTAGATTCATGGGACTCACCGGCTGTATGCTGAGGGGGTCCGTGACAACGGTCTGCTGAGTGTTCTGCCTGTTTTGGAAGTCCAGCAAGTAACTTTGTTTCAAGAACCGCAATCCTTTGTAGAAGTTTGCAGTAGTTCATGCAGCAAGTAGATTCAACGGGAGGCATTTTCTTTCTCTTCTGTTTGAATGTGGGCACCTGTGTTTTCCCTTCTCCGGAATGTAAGCTGCTGGCAGTGGAAGGCAAAAGTCTTATTTTTCGTGGTATTATTCCAGTCCCAGAGAGTTTTTAGTTTTAGTGTTTGTGCCAAAAATATGTTGTTTGAGCACTGTACTGATCTGCTGAAGTAAAAATCTTAGAAAAATCAAAGAAAAGTACAGAAATAGGGAGCAAAGCGAAGTAAGCAAGAATGCCTGAACGGTAGCGAAGCCGGAAGATGTATTATAGCTCTGCACGGGACTGTTTTCTTAAACCCGCTCCAAATTTCTGACCATCACCGCCTGCTCCCGCAAACATTCTAATGTTGAATATAATTTTTGCGCATCAGGGAGCCGCTATCAATATGCGGAGTAGCCATTTAAATCGCCATGCAGCACGTGTTGGATGCAAGGTTGCCAAATCTGCATTTTATTCCACGGAATTGGGCTAATTTTAAACTGTTGCTGCAGGTTGGTTTTTCTCCCGTGGGTTGAAGGTTTGAAATATTGCACAAATTACATTTGATTGAAATGCTTGTATTGAAACATTTTGCATTCTACCTATGAAAAAAACTGTGGTAGATGTTAAGTTTTGTGAAAGATGATCAGAAGCCTTTTAACTGCAAATGTTGACTGTAAAATAGGCCCTATGTATTTTAGTTATGGAAATGACATATTATGAGTTTTGATGAGGGATATGGCCGTTGCGCTGCTTTGGGGGCTTCTTTAACCCCCCTCAAACACAACAACCTGCTCCCACTGTCCTCTTTGTAACCCTAATGTAAAATGTAATTGTAAATGTGCAAGTATTCAGAGCGAACACATGCATGTTAACACAATTGTTGACTGTTTATTATAATGTTTTATTTTCATGTGTCTCCTTTAGAGATGATGAAGTTCATTTGTTTGACTTTGCTGATTATTAATGGAATTACAGATTCAATATCAGGTAATTATTCACACCCATGTAAAGAGCTGAAGTGTGTGTTCATGTCTATTCATTGTCCAGCTGAACTATATTTATAATTATAGTTTATGTAATAATGACCAGGTCACACATTATGCCATTTATTACATGGCTAATTGCCAAGTAAATGGATGTGAAATTTTGATCTCAGGTGAAATTATTTTATCGGCTTACATGTAGAAACCACGGAACAGTAACTGTAGGTTTCCTGGATAAATGGTCAGTAATTTATCATTATTCAGAAATATTGACCGATTAGAATAAAGCTTATAAAGAGCCATTTATTAATGTTTAATAAAACAGAGGAAAAATGCACACAAGCAGTGTTTTCAAGCAGAGATGATCAGACGCAGAGCTGTGTGGAGAAGGACAGTTACTGCTTTACATGGGAACGTTGTAGCCCTTGAAGTTGACAGTTCAACTGACAGGAGGTTCACATTTAATTAGATCTGCATTCTTTCTCTTTTACAGAGCAGTATAAGGTAGTGGGTCCTGCAGATCCTGTGTTTGCTGTAGCTGGTGAAGATGTGATTCTGCCCTGTTCAATCAAACCCAACATCAGTGTTGTGGACATGAGAGTGGAGTGGTTTAGATCTGATCTGAAAGACTCACAACTAGTGCATCTCTATGAGGATCATGAAGACAGAAACATAGAGCAGATTCAGTCCTACAGAGGGAGAACAAAACTGAATCATCCAGAACTACAGAGAGGAGATGCATCACTCAAACTCTCATCAGTCCGAGTCTCTGATGAAGGACTTTATAAATGTTTCATTCAGTCTAAATCCCGGTCTGATGATGCCACTGTTAATGTCAGTGTTGAAGGTGAGTAAACCAGTGAAAACTAAAGGCTGGAATACACTACACGACTTCTAAAATCTGAACAGCTTTTAAAACCATATACTTACCGACTTTGTAAATAATCACAAAGGAAAGCTGGCCATCACACACTAAACGACGGAGGATCACACACTACCAGACTTTCAAGTTGTTCCGATAACAAACTCATGCAGAAACATGCGCCTTGTTGCTAGGACACGCGTGACCAATGAAAACAACTTGTTCTAAAATCGGCTGAAAATATCAAACATGTTTGATCTCCGACTGGATGGAATCAGAGTCTGAAAATAAAAAATTGGAGTCTGTGTCCATCATACACTACATGATTTTTTTAGGAAATCCGTCAACTCAAATCTGCAGACTGGCTCTGACTTTCAACTAGCGTCAACTGACTGTAAATTCGGGGAAAATCGGGGCAAATGTCATGTAATGTATTCCAGCCTTAACATGCTTAACTGTTAACATGCTTAACATCTAACTAACTTAAAAAAGCCAGAACAACAACAGAATGTTCTTCTTGTTTGTCTGTAGTTGTAGGACGTCCTCCAGTGATCACTGTAGATGGGTTTGATCATTCAGGAGGGCTTCATCTACAGTGTGAATCTGAAGGTTGGAACCCTGAACCTGATCTTGAGTGGCTGGACAGTGAAGGAGTCAGTTTGAGTTCAGAAACTACAGAGATGCACAGAAACACAGAGGGATTCAGTGTAAAACATACTATCACTTTACATCACAGTGACGACAAGATTCACTGCAGAGTCAAACTGAGACATCACATGCTGGAGGCACTGATTATCAGCTCAAGTAAGTACGGACACTTCTGTTACTGTAATTTTGTCATCTTCTTGTGGTATTTTTGATGAAGTAAAAATATTTAATGATTATCAGCTTAGTCAATTACATTATGTAAAGCTAAAACATTTTACTGTCTATGTACCCTTCAGAAATGAACATGATATATTTTTTAATCATCTTGTCAGAATGCTTAATTACTGTTTTGTTTTGCAGGTAATATGTTTCATTCTTGGAGGACATCAGTCATCGTGATTTCAGTTTTTGTTGTGCTCAGTGTGATTGCTGGAATACTGATAGCTGTGTTTGCTCATAAAAACAGAGGTAAAATACTTGTTTTCTTGTTTTATATATTTTATGTAAATAAGACAGTATAGGGATAATATTCAAGGCAAAGCAATGCAAGTTTATTTATATAGCACATTTCATACACAATGGTAATTCAAAGTGCTTTACATAAAAAAATAATTAAAATAATCATACAAATAATCACAACAATAAAAGCAAACTATTAAAATGTTAAAATGATTTAAACATTTTTATTTAAAATTAATTAAAACATTTGAGAATAATAAAAAATGAGGATTGTAAGGGTGGTTTCTCTACAGTGGTTCAGGCTGTAGGATTGCCGAATGACTAAAAAACGTTAACAGCACAATGGTATAGAATTGTCTATTTTCTTGTCTATTACCCCCCACTGCCACTTATACCAATGACGGAAATAAGCGCAGTTAGAATAGCCAAATATGTGGGAGAGCATTGATATTATGTGACTTTATTGTATTGCAATAGGTAGTAGCACTTTAATGTTAATGTTGAATTGAGACTAGTTAGCAGCAAACATCATTTATAATTGGAATGGTTTAATAAAAGTATTTCATTATGGTTACACTTGAACTGGTTACAAAATAGATGAAGGATGGAAAAACATAAACAGTTAAATGTACCCAGAATGAATGTAAAATGTTATCTGAGAGAGAGAGAAAGAGAGAGAGAAAGATAGAGGGAGAGAGAGCAGAGCCCCTTCCTTGACCATGTGGCTGGCACATCTGCTGCAGGTGGTTTGAGAGGTGTTTCCAGACACATTTGAAGAACTGAACCGGATGTGTGGTTTGGTAAAGTGTGTTTCCTGCCAGTCACCCCAATGTTGTCTTGAGGGCCTTCATGATGCCACAGGGCCTGTCTCCTCTCATGCCAGCGTTTGCTATCAGACAAGATTGAGATCCTGGATAAAAGCAGTGCAATACCTGGCAGAAAATATTGATGTCTTGCATGGCTTCATCCCAAAGCTGCCACAGACCTCTAAAGCTGTGCTGGAATTTTATACTTATATTTTAATAACTGTAAGCTCAACAAGTCATTGAGTAATTTTTATCAATATGTTACTTGTAATACAAGACTGAATAAGACAATTGACCTCTGTTATGGCTCCATTATGGGGGCGATGAAATCTATTGCTGTTTTTCTGATCATAACATAGTTTATTTGTTACCTGTGTATAAATCAGTGCTACGTAGACAGCGAGTAAAAGAAAAAAGAGTCCAAGTTTGGACGGAGAACAGTTCATTGACTTTACAGGGGTGCTTTGATTGCTCAGACTGGACTGTTTTTGAGGAAGCCTCAAGCAATATTGACAAACTTACTGAGATGGTGTGTGCGTATATTTCTTTCTGCACTGATTGTATTGTTTCTTATAAGTCGTTTGGAGTATTCCCCAATAATAAGCCTTGGATTTCAAAAAGAACAAAAGATCTTCTGTATAAAAAGAAAATAGCTTTTCAGATGGGAGAATTACAAAAAGTTAGAGAGATTAATAAAATGGTGAGAGCAGAAATACAGAAGGATAGGTTCAAATTTAATGAGAAGGTAGAAGAGCAGCTGAATGGAGAAAATGTAAGATCAGCATGGCAGGGGGTCAAGACCTTGGCAGGTATTGAGAAGAAGGATACCAAAATAATCAGACTGATGCTTTTAACTCGATATACATTTTGTGGATAAATTAATTGAGTGTTATTTAAGGTTTGACAATCATGATTTTATTGCGGAAATAAATTAATTAAAACAGAGAACACTATCTAGTAATTATGGAAATACTGATGTTCTTAAGGTTAAAAGTATTTTTCAAAATGTAGATGTCAAGAAGAGTCCAGGGCCTGATAACATAGGAGGTAAGGTGTTAAGGATCTGTGCAGATCAATTATGTGGAGTTTTTCATTATATTTTTTTTAGAGTCTCTTAAAGTACAAAAAGTCTCCAAAATATAGAAAAAATCTAACATAGTCCCTGTGCCAAAAAGTAAAGTTACCAAGAATTTAAATGATTTTAGACCAGTTGCACTAACGTCATTAATTATGAAATGCTTTGAAAAACTAGTAAAGGAATTGATTTTACAGAAGATATTCACATAGCTTTTTCATGTACGTGGAGGGGTGCTCTTTAAAAGGTAAGTTCACCAAAAAATTTAAATGGTCATAATTTATTCTCCCCCGTCTTGTTCCAAACCCATACAAACTCTGCTAATTTTTGGAACACAAATAAATATATTTAATATTCTCTTAATTTTTGTCCTCCATTGCAAGTCTGGAAGACCAGTATTTTCTTCTGAACAGACATATTCGCTATGATATCATTTAAGATTTATATATAAATATTGGCATGGATTGCTTCTACAATAACAATGTATTTTTGAAGCTTGAAAATACTGATTATCTAGACTTTCAATGGATTAACAAAAAATTATGAGAGAAAATTAAAAAATATCTTCATTTGTGTTCTAAAGATAGACAAAAGTCTTATAGGTTTGGAATGACATGAGGGCAAGTAAATGATTTTTTTGTGTAAACTATTCGTTTAAGAAAGGAAGACCAAGAATGATGACTCTCCAAATCAGACAACTCCAAAGTTGGTTTGAGTTCTGCAATGAAAAACACGGACATCAATGGTTTAAATAAAATATTAACACGTAATCATACCGGTGTTACATCAAAATGTGAGGTAAACAGGCAGGAGACAATGGAAACTGTCTTTCACTCGCACTCGCTTCCATCTGAAGACACTGAGAAAATGGCGGCTTCTCGCACTGTGTCGTCCGATGTTAACGTGACGTGTGTTCTCTCTTTCACATCCGCGTTCCCAACCCAGCACCGCTGGGCTATAGATCAAGACCAATTTTCAACCCAACATCCTTACCCAGCGGTCTCAACCCAGCGTTTTTTAGAGTGTACCTTACTATTAATAAGCAGCAAATTAGTTTGAGGCAAAAGTTGCTGTTAATAGTTAGTTAGTTAGTTAATAGTGAGAATTGGTCCCCAAACTAAAGTGTGACAAATAAGTTAATTCAGTATTAATGTCAAGTCTGTTTTCATCCACAAAATATTTAATTAACAGACATTGTGTATTCATATACTTTTGTGTATATCTTAGGTCGTGTAATAGTTATTGTTCACAAATTATATTTGTATTTGTTGTCTGAATGCTGTTTTCTCTTTTCTTTATTCTGAATCTTCTTCAGAACACAGTCAACTACAGAATGAGAAGAGGAGACTACAACATGGTGAATTTATCTTTATTACTTTATTAATTCATTATTCATTTAAGGCCAGCCATAAAATACAGTTTTAACTGTGTGTATTCATTTATTTTGTGTATATCTTGGGTCTGGTAAATGGTCACCAGTTGTTTATATAATGTATATTTATTCAGCTACTGTCATGGCTGGTTGCAAAAACAATATATAGAGCTGGATCTAAGTGCAAGCAGTATTGTTTAGTGAAAAAACACAAAAGAAACTGCACACTGGCAAAAAACACAGCAAACTGAGCAACCAACTTAAAAATGAGACTAAAACACCAATAACGAACCAAAATCAAGGCTATAAATACACAAGGGCATAATTACCTAAACATAGGACAGGTGTAACTAAATCAGTAACAAAGGCAACAAACACAGTGATTAACACAGGTGAGAAAATTAAAACTAAAGAAACATGCACAGAAACACAAAACAGAACCAAACCCTGACACGTACCAGGGGCTTGTACCATGACGGTGGCCGAACTCAGGAGATGGTCCTCACTGCAGAACACAAGATCCAGGGGGCGAAGTTGGATCCAGATCCAACTCCTCCCACCTTCCATATCCCTAAACCTACCATCTCCACCCCCTGGATGGATCTTGTGTACTGCAGTTAGGGGCTACTGGAACTCAGGGTTACAGAATTAGTTTTGAGTTGATCACCAACTTTCTCTGTCAACTCAGTCAGATCAGTTTCAGTAGAGTGCAGATGACAAAAACCAGACTGGAATTTATCAAACACATTATACCCATCTAAAACAGCAGGAAGTTCATTAACAACTACTTTTTCCAGGACCTTATAGGTAGCTTATAAATAGGTCTATAATTGTGGGGCAAAGATGGATCAAGATTTGTTTTTTGAGAATAGGTTGAACAACAGCTTGTTTAAGATAAATTGGAACATGACCAGATGTTAGTGAATTATTAATTATGACGAGCACACAGGGACCAATGGTGTCAATAACGTTTTTAAACAAAGCAGTGGGTACCACATCCAAGGGACTAGAAGAGACTTCTAGAGCTAATGTTCAATTTATTTAAAAAGCACTTTAAAACAACCTTAGTATACCAAAGTGCCGTAGACAGTTACATTGATCCAATCACACAATAGAGTAAACACATCATTAGAAAACCACAGTCACAAAACATTGAAAGCATGGGGGAAAAAATACGTTTTTAAAAGACTTTTAAACTCAGACACTGAAGAAGCTATTCTGATGGATAATGGCAAATTGTTCCATAGCTTGGGGCCAGCAACAGCAAAGGCTCTGTCACCCCTGCATTTCAATCTAGCTCTGGGAACCAAAAGCCGATGCTTAGTCTGTGATCTGAGTGATCTAGCTGGATTGTGTACTATAATCAACTCGGAGAGATATGGAGGAGCAAGGTTGTTTAGAGCTTTGTACATGAATAGGGGAAAGAGAGCCCAGATCACCGGTGCTCAGATCAGTTTTCTCGTTAGGCCTAAACAGAACCATTTGAGTTTTATCGTCATTCAAATGCAAAAAATTATTGGTAAGCCATGTTTTCAATTCTTGGAGACAGGCTGTTAGTAGGTATAATGCATACTTGTCATTGCGCTTAAGTGGTATGTAAAGCTGGGTATCACTAGACTAAAAATAGACTAAAACCAAGGTCTAAAGTATGTCCTTTTATATGAGTAGGACCAGTAACATGTTGGGTGAGATTAAATTACAGTTGCAAATTTATCAAAAACATCATCAACATGAAATCACCAACAATCACAATTCTAGAGAGATTAAGAATAGACGATAAAGAGATCACTAAAATCATCTAAGGAGCTATTAGGACCAGGTGAACGATAAATTAAAATACAATAAAGGGGATCTGTACCACCAACTTGAATAATTGCAATTCAAAGGAAGAGGAAAAACCCAGTACCAGCAGAAAAAAAACTGTTTCTAAACACCACAGCGAGTCCTCCACCACGGTCTGAAATTCTCGGTAGACTAATAAAGGTATAAATAATTCTTTGGGCAAATTTCTTTAAGGGGAGCATTTTCCTCTGCCAGATTTCAGTCAAAAACAAAAAGTCCAGCTCCTTGGATTTAAAAAAGTCGTTCAACGCAAATGTTTTGTTAGTTATTGAACGAGCATTTACCAGTGCTTTCCTGAGGGGAAGAGTAACGTCTTAACCAGATATTTTGCATGTTTTCAATTCTTGGAGACAGGCTGTTAGTAGGTATAATGCATACTTGTCATTGCGCTTAAGTGGTATGTAAAGCTGGGTATCACTAGACTAAAAATAGACTAAAACCAAGGTCTAAAGTATGTCCTTTTATATGAGTAGGACCAGTAACATGTTGGGTGAGATTAAATTACAGTTGCAAATTTATCAAAAACATCATCAACATGAAATCACCAACAATCACAATTCTAGAGAGATTAAGAATAGACGATAAAGAGATCACTAAAATCATCTAAGGAGCTATTAGGACCAGGTGAACGATAAATTAAAATACAATAAAGGGGATCTGTACCACCAACTTGAATAATTGCAATTCAAAGGAAGAGGAAAAACCCAGTACCAGCAGAAAAAAAACTGTTTCTAAACACCACAGCGAGTCCTCCACCACGGTCTGAAATTCTCGGTAGACTAATAAAGGTATAAATAATTCTTTGGGCAAATTTCTTTAAGGGGAGCATTTTCCTCTGCCAGATTTCAGTCAAAAACAAAAAGTCCAGCTCCTTGGATTTAAAAAAGTCGTTCAACGCAAATGTTTTGTTAGTTATTGAACGAGCATTTACCAGTGCTTTCCTGAGGGGAAGAGTAACGTCTTAACCAGATATTTTGCGGGGAATTGTGTGGAGTTGACAGGGACTTAATCTGCCGAGCGCAAAAACTCCACAAACGTATTTGGGAAGATGGGACGGAGACAGCAGAGTCCAGCTGCTGTAGATGAGGGAGAATCATTAGACCATACAGTCTATGCATTAGACTCCTCTCAAGGAATCGACGCCGTTTTCCGACGACTCCTCGCTTCCAGGACAGCCTCAGCTTCACCTGAATCCCGGCCATTGTCCCTCACTTCCTCCGATGTCTTTGGGAACTTCGGTGTAGAAAACCACCACCAGAATCAGCAGCTGAGTGGACTGATGTGGACAATAATGACTGGAATATCAGCCCAGGGCGGAGGAACATTATGATCTACCATTGATGATCTTATAGAAGAGTTTGGCGATCAGATACACCTGAACAGCAAGTCCATCATTAAGAAGCAGAAAAAACTGAACGACACACTGGACAGGAAGGACACAATGCCAGACAGACACTGACAGCAGCCCAGCCAAACACAGGGTAACACTTTATTATAACTTTCATTAACAAACATTATATAATGCTTAACGGGTCATTAGTTAATATATATTCACATAGCTAGAAACATGAAATAATGAGCTTGTTAATGTTTACTAAACATTACCTAATGATCAACAGATAATTAATGTAAATTACAATGTTTACAAATGTCATGAAACCTTTCATTCATATGATCATGCACGTTTTGAAAATCTACAGATGATTTTAACAGATGTTATATAATGATTGAAAGCTTTTGTTAATGTACAACACTTTTTCTGCTATTGAGGTGTGATCTGGTTAAGGTTAGGGTTTGGTGGTATGGGTTGCTTAAGGGGTCAAAAGTGTAGAGGGGTCAGTTTGGTTACTATAAGGGAACATGATTCAATCTGTTTATATTACATTGTTTTGATAAATGAACAAGTATTTTCTTGAAAAAATATTTGTTTTCTCCTGCTGATGTATGATTCAAGGAATACCCTGTTTAATGATATAGTATACTAATATAAGTGTTGAGGCAATAAAAACAAGTTTTTCACCCAAATTACAACATGTGTTACGTCTTTAAGAAGCATTTAAATAAACTTAACTAACCACCCTTAACACAAACCTTGTTACAGCAGCTAAAAGTCCAATGCCCATAAAGGTACTGTGATTGCAATCCGTTTAAATGTTCATATTTCTTGCTGCTTCTTCATGTGTGAGCGTGATTTGAACTCGAATAACATTCCGTAGTCCAGAAACGTTCTTTAGGTAAAGTTTAATAACAAAATTAACTGGAAAGATGTTACACGTTCAAAAAACAGTCTCGCTCCAATATTGCAAAAAATATCACAAAACGGTCTAACTGTCCTTGCCGGAAATGACATCATTGTCAATATGAAATATAATACACATATTAAATAGTTTACTTTTATAATTATTTTACAATTGCTTAACACACACAATTATTTATTTATTCCACATCTATATAAAACCAAATAACATATGGCTCTTACAGGTACTGAAAGATTAGTAAACCTTTATAAACATTTACAAATGATGAATAGTTTCCACTTTAGATTGGCTACTGCAAAAACATGAACAAATAATTAATGATTTGTAAATTGAAGAAGTCTACACAACAAACGTAGACCAAATATATGAACTTTACAGACTGTGATTATGAGTTAATGAATAATATGATAACATGAATAGTTTGTGAATAGTAAAGAGTTAAAAATGTCTGATTAAGCTCATTTTTTCACAACATTTGTAAATGTTAAAAAGAGCATTAGGTAATATGAACTGAAGTTTAATGACGTTTGTTAGTATTCAAAAGTACATTAATAAATAAGCTTGTAATCATTGTGTAATTTCTGTAAAAATTATTTGTAGATTTTTAAAAAGTGCATGATCATATGAATTGAAAGTTTAATGACATTTGTAAGCATTTTAATTTACGTTAAATAATGATATGTTAATAATTAGGTAACTTTTAATAAGTACATTAGTAAACATTAACAAGCACATTATCTCATATTTCTAGCTATGTGAATATATATTACTTACGTTTCACTGCTGGTCATATATTCTCTATACAACCATGTATGTGACAAATCAAAATCTTGAATATATTAACTAATGATCTGTTAAGCATTATGTAATGATTGTTAATGATTTATTAATGAAAGTTATTATAAAGTGTTACCCCATCTTGCCTGTATATATTTATATGGCTAAAGTGGTCATGGATTAAGGGTATAATAATTATATAAATCATATAAGATATTTATAATAATCAATCATCAATAAAAGCCAGATCATTTTTTTCTTTAAAAAATGTTTTACTATGTAGTGTCCTTTCATTTGGAGCAAGAGAAACTGGGGAGTGACTATTGCATCAGAGATGTGTCACTTTGCTCGAAGTTGATTGGTCAAATTTCAGTTTGAGATCTCTAAATCAGAACATAACCTGTCCCGGGGCAAGTTACTGTGGTGATGATCACAGCTAAAAGCCAAACCACTTTCATGGTGCCTAAAACCCAGAGTTGGTGCAAACTAAACTGAAATTCACCTGGATAGTCAGCTAAACCGGCTTCATGGTACATACAGGCCCCTGATGCACACTCCTGTGATGTTAACACACCCTATAAACACAACTACATGATCATTACTTGTTTGTCAGAGTAATAAAAATGACAGAATTGTAATGTTCTTTTCTCATCTTTTTCTGAATTTTCTTTAGAGCGTGATCAACTTTTACAAAGTCTGAAGACAATCATACCAAAAGGTGAATTTGTTTTTTATGGCTTAATTAAAATATAAATTCATTACCTTTGAATTATTCTGCAAAACAATGAATCAACATGCTGTGCATTCATATATTTATTCAATTCATTGTATTTTATTATTAGATATATAAACTGTATAAAGTCTTCTTGGATTTTGTTGGTCTTCAAGTGGTGATTAAAATGGCTGATTTCATTATTGACCTAAAGATGAAGCCTTCATAACTTCATACTTTCTGTTTTTAGCTCTCACACATTCAAGAACACACAAGGGTGAGTAAAAGGCATAATTGTTTATTTTAATTAAAGGCATGTTTCATGGCATAATTATTTATTTTAATATACAGTATTTATAATAATTATTTATTTTACATTACTAAATAAAAGCAAGACAAAAAAATCAACACAAGGATTCAAAAATGAACAACAAAATGACTCCCAGACAGCAACCTAAAAGCACATGAAGTGAAGCAGGAAAAATCTGAACATTTCAGACTATCAGTAATAGATAAGATGTCAAAATTATGAACATTATTATAAGTGGTGTATCTTTATTTTTGTTTGTCTTGTTTTAAAATTCTCATGATTCCTATAAAAATAAGTAATTGTCTTTATTTCATTATATACTCATTTGTAAAGCAGAATTTTCAATATTTTTTGCAGTGAATGTGATTCTGGATGCTGATATGGCTCATCAACGTCTCATCGTGTCTGATGATGGGAAACAAGTGAGAAATGGAAACAGAGAAACAGGAGTGAATGGGGGAAAAGACAGATTTGATCAATATCTTGGTGTTCTTGGGAAGGATGGATTCTCCTCAGGGTGTTTTTACTTTGAGGTGCAAGTGAAGGGACAGACTCGGTGGTATTTAGGAGTGACCAGAGCATCTGTTAGCAGGAAGGGCTGGATCCGTCTGAGTCCTATGAATGGATATTGGACTGTGGGTCTGAAAAATGGGAAGTATAGGGCTCGTGAGTCTTCATATGTCTCTCTTTCTCTGAGTGTGAATCCTCAGAGGGTCGGTGTGTTTGTGGATTATGAGAAGGGCCTAGTCTACTTTTATGATGTGGAGTCCATGTCTCATATCTATTCTTACACTGATCAGTCTTTTGATGAGAAACTCTATCCATTTGTTAGTTTGGGGTATCTGTATAATACAAACTCCGCACCACTGATTATCTGTGATGATTAATAATGAGATCCGTGACTGAATTTACATGATCCACTGAAATAAACCAAAATATTATTTGCACTACCAGTCAAAAATCTGGTCACACACGGGTGATTTTATGTTTTCTGTGATCTTAAAATGTTTTGGTTTTAAGACTTCTGCTTAAATGTCTGAAATGACTTTTGTAAATTAATATAAATAATGCATATATATACATATGCATTTCTTTATAAGATAGAGGCTTTACTTAATTATGAATAATGTTTTGAGCTGGAGCAGATAATGAATGAAAAGCATCATGAAGAGCTCATCAAGTTAACTCTTCTTCCTTCAACACTGTTTGCTGTTGGTTGATGAATGTTCTTAATTTTCATTTTATTATTATTAATTTGATTTCTCATTGATTTTGCATTTCATTGTCTTTCATTGCATTTCATTGTCTTTCCAGCCCAGTTTTAAATTTTCTGTTATTTTTATGTTTGAGCTTCTCAGAACAAAATTGATTTTGAGTGCCAAGCTACTAAAAGGACTGTTACATACCCAGTTTTAGATACCTTGTGTTTTTGTTATTTGGACTTTTAGGTTACATTCTGCCCTGTTTTGTTCCTGTTTCCTGTTCTGTTTGTAGTCCTTTTGTAGTTTTTCTTGATGAGTAGTTCCCTGATTGTTTACAGATGTGTCTTGTCAGTCTGTTAGCCCTTTGCTGCGTCCCAGTGTGCCTACTTATACACCCTTAAAGTATGTCTTTTGGTGAAGAAGTACACACTTTTAATGTGTAGTAGACAGAGTACACTCTTCTCACACTTACACTCTTGTAAGGCTACATGAAGTGATTTCCCAGCATTTTTTGAACATTGACCAGTTTCAAATGTGATATTTATTTACAACAATTCAATAATAAGAAGTTAATATTGTGGTATATTAAAACTCTTTTGTTCTCTTTTGCTCACCATGGTTGCATTAATTTGATCAATAATATATTAAACCGTAATATTGTGAAATGTGGTATTGTGATTTTGCTAAATTGTGTACGTGAAAATATTACCTATAAAGCCACAGAAGAACTGTTGTGCATCTCCTAATAAAACACAAGTACCGCGAGAGCGATTAGACAGCATTTTTAACATTTTTGTTTTGATGTCAAATAAGTCTTGCTGTTTTGCTTTTTTGTTAAAGCAGTGTTTCTGTCTGTGTAGGGGTGTTCAATATATATTTTTTTGTTTTGTTTAGTTTTTTTCCCCATGGGTTTTTAACATTCTAAAAGCACTTTATTCCAAATATACTACAAGCTAGACAGTGTATTCAGCAGGTGTAATGTATTCTAAGTTGCTTCAGAAGTATTGCAAGCACTAAATACAACAATAAAACAGTGCATTGACATAAAAAAGGAAATTTACTTTTGGTACTCAAGTACTTTTAAAAGCAAGTACTTCTGTACTTTTACTCAAGTAAAAATCTGTCTTTACAACTTTTACTTGTAATGGAGTAATGTTTGACCAGCGGTATCTGTACTTTCACTCAGGTAATGGTTGAGTACTTTGTCCGCCTCTGGTAGTAGAAGAGTAAGCAAGCTTTGAGACAAACTATCATGTCATACAATTGTGTCTTTAACAGACCGCTCTGTTGCATATTTACACACACCCTGTCACTGTAAACTGGCTCTTGTCACAGTTACCATCCTCCACATTTCATTTCATTTAACTTCCTACTGTGCTGAAGAGAAAATAAGTAGCACGTTGATCTGCCAGCCATGGGGTCTTTATGTGGAGAAATCTGCTCATATATTTTGCATAATGATGCATTTAAAAGTTGACATCCAAATGCATGTTTACAAAAGTTCACATTGTTGTTGCAGATTAAATATAACCCAGATAACATTAAATAAATATTTTTAGCAGGTTAAATGTTGATTATTAGAACTCAAACTTCTTTATCTAAACCTCTCTACTTAACCGTTGGTCCCGCACATCCGCCATGTTTGTAGTTCTTTAATGTTTTTATCTGCAATGGATTGTGGGTAATATTAACCATTAGAGTGTGCATGGATCCACACTTCAAAAATCTACCTGAAATAGTGGACCATCCGGGAACTTCTCGCAAACTCTTTTCAACATACTATGCTTTGGGACACACTTATTCTAATCTCACATACTAGGATGGATAGTATGAACATTGAGACGCAGGGATTGTGTATTTAAACTCCAGTGTTCCTGTTTCTCGTGTTCTTTGTCGGATCTTGTCCATTGTTGGATGTGTTGTTGCTGTCCTCAGTTCTGCACTCGTGTTTCTTGGTTTTTGCTCCTTGTCCTCGGATTATTGTTTGTGTAATAAATACTGCATTTAGATCCTACTCTCCTTTGCCTCTGAGTGTCCACCACCATTACCAGGATTAAATAAGTGTAGTAACAGTCCATACAACTCAAGTTCTGTAGTCCAAGTCTTCTGAAGCTAATCAGTGATCATCCTCCTTTCTGACAGAGTTCACAAATCTCTGAGTGTAATGCCTGATGTAAATGCAGTACTGTAACATCTTTCATTCAGCACCTTTATATAAAAATAATTTAATATGTGCTTAGTCTCTACTTTTTGTAGAGACTTGGTTTAGTTCTTGGAGGACATCAGTCGTCCTGATTTCAGTAGCTGTTAATTGTGCTCAGTGTGATTGCTGGAATACTGTTAGCTCTTGCAATAAAAACAGAAGTCTGTTTTCTCAAACTTTAGATGTAAATATACAATATAAATTGATTACATGTGTGTTTATAAATAACAGTTACATTCTGAATATATTGGTTTCAGACTAAAAGAGTACAAAAGCTTCTCAAATTAGAATAATTTTCTGAATGGTCTCTTCCAAACAAAAAATTCAGTATCACATTTTTGTTACAGCTGTTGAGAAAACACATGAATACAATAAAACCACACTGAAGTACATTCAATCAAGTGTCATTTACAGCTGCAAAAAGTATGTGAATGCATGGGTTTACCATAAAACAAATGCCTAATTGCAATAACCAAGATTTGTTTATAGAGCCTGTGCTTTAGATAGTATTTCATATTTAAAATGATAATAACAGTGAAATATTTTACAAAACACCAAATTAATGTACCATCCCGAACACAGCCCTTAATTAGCTGGTTCTGGTATCTTTAATTAGGGTTGGAGCTAAACTCTGCAGGACAGTGGCCCTCCAGGACTGAGTTTGGAGACCCTTAGTTTACAACTTTGTGATATGTTGTCTCAATTGTTTTTCTAAAGAAGATCTAAACTTATTTTACTTTTTAAAATCAATTTTCTTTGTTAAATTTTCATGAAATGTAGTTATATTAGCTTTATATTATACAATGATTTTTTTATGTTTTTTTATTTCAATAATACATTTTGTATGTGTTAATAAAGAATAACAATTTAGTCCCTCTGTAAATTCTCTTTGCCACCTTGAAGAATTCTCAGTTACTTTAAAGTGTAGACAGACGGCCGGGAAGTAAGAAAACACACAGTCAAATGTATCCTCAATACTTCAATTTATTCATAGAAATACAGATATTAAATAGGCATATGTCGTGGGGAGTTTCATCCTCTTAACCAATGAGGATATGAATAACATACACGTAGGATCTTTGGCCAAGAACATGTGTTTATATAAAATAGCCACATGTACAGAAAAACATGGACATATTAGGAATAGACTTTTGCGAAGAATGCTGATCTGTCTTCATGGTTTCATCACGAACTCCTTTACCCTTGTAGTCATAACATTCATGTCTTTATTGGGGCCTTTAAATCAAGAGAAGCTAATGTATACATTTAAGCATGCATACTTCGCATATAAGTAAGACATATTTAAAACATAATATCAAGAGAGAGATGGATATAGAAGGAGGAATTCAGAGAGAATGTGTTGTATATATAAGAATGAGAGAGAGGGAGAAAGGAGGAGTAAGGCCTGTCTGGACTCAACAGAAAGACAGAGAGTGTTTTCTAACAGTATGTGAGAGATATATAGCTACTTTTGAAATGTATTTCCTGGTGTGTTGTCATTAGTAGTCAAAGTTCTCTCTATATTTGTGGATGTGTATATTCTGTCATCACCTACATTTGTGTTCACATTTTCTTTTACTTCCGTGTAACGTGTCTGCCATATTTCAAATCAGATTAAAGTGTTAGTCTTTGTGAAAGATGTTTATCAGCTGGAATGATGGGAGGGACTGTGTCGTCTCAGGTGTTTGGTTACACAAGAAAGTGAAACAAATCCAGGAATGATCTCCTTACAATCATACAAACTCTCATGTGGACGCAATTTATTAAGACTATCTTGAGAACACAGCCAATGTTGAATTGAAGCCACGGAAGATTCAAGAAACATGTTTACCTGAAGTCTGACATGAGGAACATTGCAAGTAAAACTTACTTTTGTAAATTTGAAAGTGATGAGATTTTTTTTTTTAAATCAGCATATTGTTTTAAAAAATATATAATTTCATATTTATATGCATTTTATTAATTAGATATACATTCTCTACTTGTCTGTACTTGTCTTGACCCAGTTTAACTGGTTTTCTTTCATTAGAAAGAATAATTGTGTTTCTTCCATTCGACCAGGTGGGTAAGTTTAAGTAGTATTTTAAAGTAAAAAGTGTGCATGCTGACACACTATTCTATTTTCTTTTTTATTATTATTATTATTACAGTACTGTGCAAAAGTACAGTTTGTCTGGACCAACATGAAACCTTTATGATGTGTGGTTTAGTTCTGCTTTCTTTCTCTTTTACAGATCAGTATAAGGTAGTGGGTCCTGCAGATTCTGTATTTGCTGTAGCTGGTGAAGATGTGATTCTGCCCTGTTCAGTCAAACCCAACATCAGTGTTGTGGACATGAGAGTGGAGTGGTTTAGACCTGGTCTGAAAGACTCACTTGTGCATCTCTATGAGGATCATGAAGACAGAAACACAGATCAGATTCAGTCCTACAGAGGGAGAACAAAACTGATCCATCAAGAACTACAGAGAGGAGACGCATCACTCAGACTCTCATCAGTCCGAGTCTCTGATGAAGGACGTTATAAG